AGGTTGTTGCTGAGAAAGAGGTGAAGCAAGTTAGCAAGGTAACACATGTGAAGGGAGGTATATTGGTTACCACTTGTTGCATCGTTAACGCCACGGGACAATACCTACAACCAGCAATGGTTTTTCGTAGGGTGCATCTAAAGGAGCATATGCTACGAGGTTCCCGATCAGGAACGTTGGGGCTTGCTACTCCAAGTGGCTGGATGAACGCTGATCTTTTTTTAGAAGTAATGAAGCATTTTATAAAATATTCTAATAGCTCTAAACAAAATCCATCGCTTTTAATCTATGACAATCATAAAAATCATCTTAGTGTTCGTGTTCTTAATTTGGCCAAAGACAACGGAGTAAAAATTCTAACATTTCCTCCTCATTCCACAAATAAGATGCAACCACTAGATGTGTGGGTATTCAAAGCATTCTCAACATGTTATAATGCATCTGTAGATACCTGGATGATGCAACATCCAGATAAGCATTTCACCATATATGAGGTAGCTGAGTGCATCGGCTTTGCTCATGAAAAAGCTCTCACACCGAGCAATATTATAAATGCATTCAAAAAGTGTGATATATATCCATACGATGCCAATGTCTTCACAGATATAGACTTTCTACCAAGCGCTGTTACCGTTCGCAATGTAAAAGATGATGTAAGCCAAAAAAAATCATCAATTAGTCATTCGATCTAATGTTGTAATCTAATTACTAGTGTTTGTAATTTTGTTCTAACTGTGTTGTAATTACCGTACGATAAATAAATAAAAATTCGTTTGCATTGGTTACATTTGATGTAATATGCTAGACGCGTGCTACTTGCTACTTGGGACGTGCCACGCTACTTTGGTGGACGCTCTCCCTTAGGACTTGCCACGTCACCAAACTGGCGTGGCAAGTAGCAAGTAGCACGCGTCTGGCATGTTATTTAAGGGCGAGCGCCCACCAAAGTGGCGTGGCAGTGGCAAGTAGCAAGTAGCACGCGTCTAGCATAATGTAACCAATGAAAACGAATGATTCAGTTTACACCAAAATGACAGTAACGTCATTCATTCTAATCATTCGTTAGGATTGGTTACATTATGCTAGACGCGTGCTACTTGCTACTTGCCACTGCCACGCCACTTTGGTGGGCGCTCTCACTAAAATGTAACCAATTTAAACGAATGATTAGAATGTATGACGTCACTATCATTTTGGTGTGCGCTAAATCATTCGTTTCCATTAGTTACATTTTTAGTAACATGCTAGAAGCGTGCTACCTGCCACTTGCCATTTGCCACGCCACTTTGGTGGGCGCTCTCACTTAGACACCAGTATTGAAAATAGCAATCAACTGAACGATAAAAATTTCAAAACTGTCACAGATGTTTTTAAAAGTCAAGAAGAATTTAAGAGCTTTCCAAAAGCAGGAGAACGCAAAACTAAAAATACACGAAAAACGGGCAAAAGTATTATAGCTACTGACACATCCGAAAAATATGCCATAGAAGAACGAAGCATTACGAAGAAAAGAAAAATTGATAAAAACGTAGAAAAGGTCAAGAAACAAATATTTGAAGATAGTTCTGAAAGCTCAGAGAAGAATCACGAAGAATATTGAACTTGGTTCATCCTCAGGGGATGACTGCTACTATACCTACCTAGAAGGTATGCAACAAACGTTACTATCTCTCCATCGGAACTCCCATTGCATCATAGAACTAAATCACCTTTACACACTTTATAAAACTGCTGTGAACCATATCCGTGGCGACAGCAGATCTTTCCAACAAATTGTTACATACATTTTTTAATTATGGTCCAATTTTAATAATTAAAAAGTAGACAAAAAAGATCCCATATTAATTTCTGGAACAAAACCGGATTTATACACGTTATATGAGAAAAAACAAAATTATTTTTCTCTCGTCTTTTAGGTAGAGTTTAAGGCGACCTTGTGATTAAATACAGCTTCTCAATGCCACTGAAAATGATCATGTATAAAAACTTGGATCCTTTTTCATATTGCGTTTTATTTGTATTGCAATATTACAAATTTATGAACAGCTAAACTAACAGACTACAGGATATCTTAAACTAGAACAATCCTATCTTTCCAAAGGAATTGACCGCAGTAAACAAAAACGTATGACTTACTTAGCTCTCTTCCATAAAACTGAAGTAATTATACCCACACACAGTGAAAACAACAAAATCAGCAACAATATTCTTAGATCTGTGTTGACCTGGTACAGTGATGCCACAGTTATACACACAGGTGCATCTTGATAGATAGAAGGGACTGCCTGTTCTAATTTTTTAACCTTAGGAGGTTCCGAATTTAAGTACAAACTTTCCAATGAGTGTCCAGTTGTCTCGGCGGAATCATTGGCCGTACTCGAAGCGTTGAAATATGATAAAAACTCAGACTGTCTTTCTAAAATACATTTAGATTAATGCACATATTGCTACTACTTAGCTAGGACCAGTGTAACAGCAAACACTGTATTGTCATATGTGTATCAGATGCCATTACAATTTAAAAAAAACACAGCTATAGACATGGAAAGATTAATGGAATCTTTACTGCTTCAGAAACCATACAGGGTACACCACTTTACAAATAATTATTCCACAAACTACTTTGGTTTAAGATTAAATCATCAGTTGGCGCTACAGCCCTTCGTGAGCCCTGGCCTGCTTCAAAACATTCTTCCATCCTTCCCTTTCGAGAGTCTGTCTTCTCCAGCCTCTCACTCCAATCTCCCTCAGATCTTCCTGTACATCGTGAAGCTCCACGTAAATATAAACCAACCTAAATCGACTACATCGTTTTAGACATGTGTGTCATTTATTTAAAATAAATGTGACTGAAGAAGATAATTGTAAACATTTCGAAAAACTGGGTGATCTTGATCAAATATTTTTTTAATCCCAAGTTTTCAGCATTCAAACTTCCTCTACAAAAATTGAATCAAATATAATATGTATGCACCATTTAATATCCAGTCTCTGCTAGCTATAGGCTCACAACAAGTATACAATATATATTTTCTATACTGAATCTCATGGATCAAAGAAGAGAAATCAGGAATAAAGATAAAAACGAATACGAGAGGATCCACGCAATATTCAGACAGAAGATAAGATATGCAAAAACACTATTTCATAGCAAAGAATGTAATAAAATTAAACAATATGAAAAGAAACACTATACGTTTAATCTTCACAAGAGATTAAGAGATAGCCGGAATCAACTATCCCAAAAGTTAGAAGACAAAAACGGACACAGAATATTGGATATAATGAACAATTAAAAGAATGGAAAAACTACATTTCTGAATTATTTGAAGATAAATAAGTAGAACACTATACACCGATTGCTATAGCAAGTCCATCTATAACAGAAAGTGAGGTTGGGCAATACAAATGACAAAAAATGGAAAAACACTTGACCCCGATGAAGTAAGTGCTGAAGTAATAAAGTTTTTGAGACAGAATGAAATTAAAACACTGTGTGGTCTCTTTAACAAAATTTATGACACTAATATATTACCAACTAATTGGCTAGTTAACATTAACCACAATACCAAAAACACATCGTGCAAAGACACGCAGTGATTATCGGATAATAAGTCTGATGAGTCATCTTGTGAAGATCTTTCTGCGAATAATACATAGCAGAATATGCACGATATTAGAGGCAAGAATTAGAGCAATACTCAATTCGGATTTAGGAGTTTACTGGATATGAAAGAAGCCTTGTTCAGTATCCAAGTTCTGATCCAGAGATACACAGATATAAATCAAAATGTACAGGGTGGTGAATCGGCAAACGGGCCATAGGAAACTCAATGGTAAATTCTAAATTGTTGAATTCCTGCTTCCCTAATTGTTTTACACCAAAAGTCATAGGAAACTATTTGTAGAGGACTCAAATATGTATCGAAAACAACTGTTAAAATTATTCTACGACTTAAACGTATTCCAAAATTTTGCTAAAATATAATACATTTTTCTGTGAAAAAATGTGTATTACGTGTTGTGTTTTGTCATATTATTGTTTCTGATATTTTTTGACAATATTTAAATCAATTATATTACATTTATCTATGATTTAAATGGCCAAAATTTTATGATTTATTGTTTAAAAAAAAATTAAGTTGATTAAAAAATGTACTCAGTTGAGGAGAAAAAAAGCAATAATAAAAATATTTTATTCATGTTTTATTATAACATTTGTTATAGTTTTATGTTTAGAAATAATCATATATTATTATTAGGAATAAAGATCACAGTGACAGTATATTGGAATTCATTGAATTGTTGTATAACTTAACATGGAATTAAATTTTAGTGAATTAGAATATCTTACGTTAAATAAAGATCCGGTAGTGACAGGAAAAGGTTCGCGCTATTGCCTGAATACAACGTTATGCGATTTTTCGTCAACTGAGTACATTTCATTATATTGATCGATTTGTAAACAATATTATTTATTGTTCACAAAGTAATAATGTTCAGTAGTAGTAGTATTTAGTAAAATTCATTGTTTATAATTTAATCATAAAATAAAAAGATTGACAATTCAAATTGTCAAACATCTGACATTAATATGATAAAACAAACACGACCTAATATATATTCTTGCATTACGTGTGGCCTAACTTTTAGGGGTGGTCTGAAAAATGTATCACATTTTTTTTAAATTTTGAAGTACAGTTGATTCGTAGAACGGTTTTAACATTTGTTTTTAATTCGGATTTTAGTCCTCTACAAATAGTTTTTTATGACTTTTGATCTAAAATAATTAGGGAAGCAGCAATTCAACAATTTAAAATTTCTCATTGAGTTTCCTATGGCCCGTTTGACGATTCACCACCCGGTATACATCTGTGCAATCGATTTTGAAAAAGCTTTTGACAAGGTCAGTCATTTTAACGCGACGTTTTTATCCATCTCAGTATAATTTGACTACTACTATAAAACAAAAAGTTGTTTTAACTAAACAGTAGGAACATAGTCTAATAAAGATTTATTAATACTTATAAATATATAATACATACACAAACAATTTATTTTTTACTATCGTCGTTACCATTTTTACCATCTTTATCTTTTTTCTCATCTGTAACTACCTTTTCGGTTTTCTTTGCTTCTGGAGTGACACTCTTGGCTTCTGTCGGTTTTTCAACAGGTTTCACCGATGAAGTTTTAGCTAGTTCTTGGACCAGCAAATCGATTGAATCTGAAATAAGCGCCGTTTCTATTTCTGGTGTATTTCTTACCTGTTTTCTCACTTCGTTTTCGACGTATTGCACCAAATTTCTCTGCTGAATTTTTTTCCAAACACCGCCGACAGCTACTTGATAGTCTAGTAGTCGTTTTACTTCCCGATATACGTGCATTTGTCTTTTGCGGAATTCATCCTCATATTGCATTGCTACATTTTCTCTTTTTGCTTCGACTAAAAGTAATTGTCCATCGGCTTGAAACTGAAGGATTTTTTCATTGATTATACCTGGTTGAAAAAAAAAGAAAAATGATAAAAAAATTATGAAGAGACAATGAAAAAAAAAAAAAAGTAAAATGAAAAGTACTAATTGATGGCTTGTTGACACCTACAGACTTATACAAACTACTAGAGACATTCACCGGAGGTTACCGCTTATGTAGACGATGTCCTCCGTTTTAAATGTAGATAAACAAGGTTTGTAACTTAATTGATAGAGGTGCTGATAATCAAATTGTTTGCGCAATTCATAAAAGCTTTGTAAAAGGAGCTATGTCTACTATCCCTACCGCTTCCATAAAGGTCATATTTAGCCAAACTTTATTAAATATATATGGATGGCGAAAGAGGAAAACATAAGAGCATACAGAAGGCGAAAAAGACATGAGAAAGCAGGGCAAAATGATATCGGAATCAAATCTTCTTCTTCTTTTTATATTGACATGACTGTCTGTTTTTCAATGTTCCTCCAGTAAGTTGTCCTTCCATCGTTTTCTTGGTCTTCCTACTGATCGTCTTTCTATTGGGAACCGTCTCTTGCCGTCTTTACTAATCTATTTGTTGTCATTCGGCTTATATTATCGTTCCATTCTACACTTCTATTTCTTACCCAGTTCTTGATGTTCTCCACCTTGCATCTACATCGTATATCTGTACTTCTAGCTCTGTCCCATAGTGTCTTACCATCAATTTTTCTAAGTGTTTTCATCTCTGCTGTTTCTAACATCCTTTTTGTCCTCTCTGTATCAGGTCTTGTTTCTGCCTCGTATGTCATTATTGGTCTGATGACTGTTTTGTAAATTCTGCATTTCGTTTCTTTCCTGATATTTTTATTTCTCCATATTGTTTCATTAAGGCAGCCTGCGCCTTTGTTTGCTCTATTCACTTGATCTTCCACTTCGGTTTCGAGCTTTCCGTATCTAGATAATGTGATGCCTAGATATTTAAACTCTGGAGATATAATTAAAAATCGCCCGAAGTTGGAAATACCAGATGGAATGCAACCGAAAAAAATTTCTCTTTCCAGGAAGGAACGAATGGGAATCGAATAAAACTTATCTTATAACGACATGGCAGAGATACAGATGGCTCTAAAACCGATAAAGGAGCTGGAGTATACTGAGAAAAACCAAGGATAACAGTACAACTAGCCAGTACAGGAACTAATAAAATGGAACTATAGAGACAGACCTATAAAAATGATATCTGATAGCCAGATGGCATAACAAGCATTGAAATCGAATCGGATTGACTCCAAATTAGCTTGGAACTGTCATCAAAATATGATTTGGATCGGAAAAAGTCTCACAGTAAGTTTACTCTGCGTACATGAACACATTGGTATTGGACGGAACGAAATATAGAACTACCTACTTGTCAAGAGAGGGGCATAAGGAACATTTATATGCTCAGAACCTTTCGTTGGCATAGCAAAAAGTACAGCCAAAAGACTAGAACTGGGTGGAATGTATGAAACGTAGTAATCCCTTGTACGAACAAATGGGTCTCAAATATTTGAAGGCTTTTATATACGAACCTTCGAAAAAGAGATCCAAAGATCTACTATATATGTAGAGGAATGATCTGAGAACTATCGTAGTTCTCCTAACAGGACACTGCCGTCTCAAGGTATACATGAACACAATTGGATTGACAAAAAGTATGAATTATATATTCTGTGGAGGAACACGTTCTGTGCAACTGCCCAGTGTTGGACAGGATAAGGCTCAATAAATTTGTGACGATAATATATTTTATCGTCTAGAGTACGCCTATGTGTTAAACAAAAACGTTTTAGTATAAAACGTATAAAATATACGTTTTATAAAAACGTATATAACAAAAAAATAGTATAAAAGTCGAAACTGAAAGACAGCTAACCATTCTCTCGACGCGTTGAGTTGAGAATATCCGACCTTGGGGACAGGTGAGTTGAACGTGTCCCAAATCCTTTCCGAACCCAGTCGATCTGGCGCGCTGAGCGAGATTGACAATCCTTCATCCGACCGCGTCAATCTGGTGCGTTGAACGAGATTGGCGCATTCTTTCCATCTAGTGTGTTGAACTAGATAGACATCCTTATCTCCGTCCGAATACTCGTTCTGCGTTGAGGAACGAGTACGACCTAAATTCCTCGATCGCCATATCTTAGTTTATCATATCGAATATCGTCACACCCATCTACCGAAATGAATAAACAGTACGTTCTTGTATTTAAGCATTATATTCAGTAAACACTTAACGTTAATTACTTTTTTTATTTGTATATGTTAGTTCGAAATAAATGTCTATACGAACGAATCCTGTTTCTTTGACTGAAATACACTACCCGACGTCACACATTTGAGCATTGTCAGTTAACCTACGACTACGTAGAAGTGTCACTTAAGGTCATAATAGAATTTGTTAAAAAGGCTGGGCTGAATGGACAACTTTAACCTAGAAATGAGCCACAATAAACTTCTTTGGTTGCGTGGAAGGGTGATTAAGCCCCATTCATATTGACCCTAACCTAACCGCTAATATATTTAAAAATATCTATGTATTTCCAAATTCAGAGGTAAAAGAGAGCCGTTTGTGCCTTCTGGTATATGATAGATACGTCACCATCCATGAAACGAATGACATACATATGCTTTTGGAAAAATATTTGGAGAAATATTTTGAATACAGACATTATAGGATTAGCGGTAGCGGGTAGACACTTTTCTACGATCCTGGTAGAGAATAGGCCCACTTCAGCTTCAGGCCTTATGCCTGGAGCTGTTTGAATGGTTGTGGTACTGCGATGGGGAAGGCAACGGGAAAACCACCCGATTATATTTCCCACAAATCTAAATGGCAGACGGAAACAAGAATATGTTCCTCAATCCGGGGAACCCCTTAAATGGGGAGAGGGTGCGAAGATTCCCCCCGTCAACTACTATTGAGGTCTAAGGAAGTGGACAAAGAATCCAAATATATGACAAGATAGTACGCATTGCCACATGGAACGTACGCAACTTATTCATGTCTAGGAAACTTGCAAACATCGACGCTGAGATGAGAAAAATAAAAATAGACATCTTGGGAATGAGTGAAGTAAGATGGCCTGGGTCAGAAAAACAAAAAACAAAAGATGGATACAGCTATTGGTCAGGAGGAACCTGAACATCAATATGGACTTCATCCCTCTAAATGTTAGAGTAGCGATGATCAAATTAAGAACAACCCATAGCAACCTAAATGTTATTCAGGTCTATGCTCCAACAAGTGACAAATCAGAGAAAGAAAGTGAAAACTTTTATAACAATATAGACGAAATAATGCGACTGACAAAAAAGGCAAGATAACGATGATTATGGGTGACTTTAACGCCAAAATTGGTCGTGATACCGAAGGAGACAACGTAGGAGCATCCGGTCTCGGTACCAAAAACAATAGGGGAGATAGACTGGTATAATTCTGCGTAGAGAACAACCTGTTAGTACCTAACACCTCCTTCAAACAACATTCTAGGAGGCTATACACTTGGAAATCGCCTGCAGACAGAAAAGATAAAATTGTTAGAAATCAAATTGACTTCTGGCGCAATAAGAAGAAGAAGCAGTATTTAATAATTTTAGCAATTGTATTGTATACAGTATAAATTAAAAATATACCTTCGTTAAAATAATTTACATTTGATTGTCTGACACTAATCCATGAATTCTCGTAAGCTTCCAATTCCTTGTCTAACCATTTGGTAAGATGCGGCCCAACATATTTGATTGTTCCCCATACCATTATTGCCATCGATAATCCATTATAAAAATTGTGTTCCAACACGAAATATTCTTTGCTAACCAAAAAGATTCCAGTTGTCACCAAGAACGTGTAAAATCCTGTAACTCCTGTTTTAGGATAGAAAAATGTAGTCCATTCCTGTGGTACAAACCCCCAAATGACCGGTCCTGGCTTTTGTCTCGTTAAAAATATTTGCTTAGGTGGTGGAGGATCTTTGGGAGGTGGACTATCAGAAGAAGATTCAGTAACTGATTTTTTTAACTTGCAGACGGTATCGTCCATTGGTAGATCTCTTTGTGTATTATCTGATTTAACGCTGTCATCAACAGCAAGTTTAAATCCATCGCTTAGGTTTATAACATTCCCTCCATTTATCATTAAACGATTATATTCTTTGCTTAATTTACTCGAGACATGTGCTTCCCTTTTTCGCTCGCTAGTAGTGTAAGCTTCGTCGTCATATTCGAAAATTAGGGATTCCGTGTGCGTTTTAGGCAAACCTTCCTTATCAATTTTAATATTTTCGAAAGAATTTATATTTTTGCCATCACAAAATGTATTATGGAAACTTAAAGAGATTTTTTTGATCTGTTTAAAAATGTTTACCGACTTAAATTGCTTCAAATACGACATTTTATAAGTCACTGTGACAGTAAATTGGAGTTTGACAAGTTCATCGTATTCAATGCGTCATACTAGTGCTGACGTCACACTGAAACGAATCGTAGAAGTTTGTTTTAACATTATTTTGCATATTGCTTTTAGATATTTTATTACAATAAATTATGATGATGTATTATTGTTTTATTATTTCTATTATTCTAACAGAGATACAAAACATATTCTAAAAAAAATATTTAAAAAATGTGATTAAAAGCTTGTATATATCAGAGTGAGATATGTAGCTGTATATATCAGAGTTGTTTGAAGATGACAGGAATAATATTGCCGAATTCTACCAAAACTGTACTGACGGCCCAGAAATTATGAAATGCGAAGTAGAACATGCTATAAATAATGCTAAAATTATAAAAGCTTGTGGTCCAGATAATACACCAACTGAGTTGCTGAAACTAATAGAGAATGATAACATAAAAGTAGTAGTAAGACTTTTTAATTCAATATATAACACCGGAATGATTCCCGCAGATTGGCTCAAAACCATCTTTGTAGTAATACCTAAAAAACACAATGCGAGAAAATACTCAGAATATCGATTAGTTAACCTAATGACCCACACTCTTAAAATTTTCCTAAGAATACTTTACAACAGAATTAGACGCAAATGTGAAGAAGATCTTGAAGATATCCAATTTGGTTTTAGAAATGCTATGGGAACCAGGGAAGCACTTTTTGCGCTTAACATCCTATTACAAAAATGCCGTGACCAAAGAAAAGATGTATTTGCATGTTACGTGGACTTCCAAAAGGCATTCGATAAAGTACATCATGTAAAATTAATGCAAATACTGAAAAATATCGGAATAGATGACAAGGATATTCGTGACATTAAAAATTTGTACTGGAATCAAACTGCTATCGTAAAAATTGGAGATAACTACACCGATGAAATCTCTGTACAACGAGGAGTCAGACAAAGTTGCATTTTGTCGCCAACATTGTTCATTGTTTACTCGGACCAGTTATTTTAAAAAGACACTTGAGAGACAACCATATGGAATAAAAAACACCGGGGAACTACTTAATGTGATTAGATATGCAGACGATACAGTAATTCTATTAGATAATATTGAAGGTCTTCAAATTATGCTTCATCATATTCACGAGGTAGGAGAGGAAATGGACATTAAAATAAACTCAAACAAAACCAAATTTTTAGTGTTTAGTCGTGACCCACATCCCGATGCAAAGCTGCAATTGAACGGAGTCCAAGTTGAGAAAGTTCACAAAATGACATATTTGGGAACTGTGATAACGGACCAACTAGATCCAGACATAGAAATAAAACGTAGAATAGCAATGACTACTTTTATGAAAATGAAGTCATTTCTTTGCAAAAGCCATCTCAATTTAGAACTAAGGCAAAGAATAATTAAGTGATATGTTTGGTCACGGGTTACGTACTTTTGTATAGTGCAGAAGTGTGGACGCTAAAAGTATCGATCATGAACAAAATTTAAGCATTGGAAATGTGGGTTCAGAGACGAATGCTGAAGATACCTTGGACAGCAAAGAAAATTAATGAAGAAGTACTTAAATCGGACAACAGGTTAAGGAGATATAATACATCAAAAATTACCCATTTTTAAGGTGGCCGATTAATTTTGGCCCAGAGTGTATATTAGCCCCGTGGTAGGTACGTACATTCATCAGATTAAAGAACTGCGTGGTTTCTATTAGGATGTCATCTATTTGATTTTTTGTAGGCGAAGTCCATGTTACATTAATGAATATTCTTGTGGGAAAGTAGGTACTTCCAACAATTGTGCCCTTGGAAGCTACAAATCTTATTATTCTATAACCGTTGTCGTTGGTGGCATCATGAGCACTGCATTTTGCGATCTATTTGATCTGATATATTTTCTTTCCCTATTTTTGCATAAGATCTACAATTATGATCTTAATATCGTTTCTGGAAAATCTGCCTAGATAGTCTCTACTTCGTCATAGAATTGATCTTTGACATCCTCTTCTTTGTCTTAGGTTGGGACGTGTACATTTATGAGACCATAATAAGGTGTTTTGTCCTTTGGTAACAATGAATGCAGTCCCGAATTCATGGTAGATCTTGTGGCAGTTGTAATAGATATCGCATCTTTTGGATAATTCCTTGGCCAAACCATGGTACTTCTTGCACAGAAATATTACGTGCTTCATATTCAGTTAGTATGTCTATTAAAATTTTTAAGATTTCCAGGTTCATAAAGTGCCGGACATTCCACGTCTATATTTTTAACTCTTTGTCCTTATTTCGTTGCATTGGTCGTCATCAGAAGTTCCATCCAGCTTCTTTAGCAGTAGATTTCGTAACATGTTTTTTTAGGGCATAGGTTTGTTTGCCCTAAGTCTAACCCTCAACTTTGAGGGCCGGGGACTCTTCTGTTAGAGGTACCATAGCTTAGCCAAGGGGTTCCAGGTTTGAGATGTTGGAGGCTCGCCTTTAGCCATCAAATCTCGGGTAGAATTTGTTAGTGTAATCGACGTATGTCACGTAGGGCATGTTTTGGTATTTAATGACAGAAGTCACTGGGCATAATTACTGCCACCAAAACCCATCCACAAACCGCTGCTTAACCTTAACTCTGCTTGGAACCGGCTACGACGGAGTTGTATTACCGGTATATCTTATATTATTAATTGTTTTGTTGTCCTCTGCTATATTTTTCAAGTACAAATTAAACTGGGGACAATATATAACAATGTCGCACACCTTTTCTTTGTCTATCTCCTCCTCCACCCTTACTTGAGCTATCTGATGCCAATACAGTTCTGTGATTATTCTTAATTCATCCTTTATCTGAACCCATTACTCTGAGTATTTCTGCTAGTTTCTGTTGTTAAACGGAACTTCGCTTCCAAGTTTCTTTCCTTCATTCCTCCATTTTTCAATAACATGCCTTTAGGTCTTTTGTGGAGATATGTTGATAACAAATTGTGAGTTCTTCTTCACAAAAGAGCTCAACATTTAGAAAACTCTGATGCCAATACAGTTCTGTGATTATTCGTAATTCATCCTTTATCTGAACCCATTACTCTGAGTATTTCTGCTAGCTTCTGTTGTTAAACAGACCTTCGCTTCCAAGTTTCTTTCCTTCATTCCTCCATTTTTCAATAACATGCCTTTTGGTCTTTTGTGGAGATATGTTGATAACAAATTGTGAGATCTTCTCAAGAAAGGGGTCAACATTTAGAAAACTCTGGATGACTGAAGTGACAAGACTGAAGATTACCAAACTTTTAAAATTGATAACACCGTTAACTAAATTCTCGTTAGCTTTTATTAAAATTATTTGGAAATGTCTTGCAATGTATCTATTGAAAAGTCAAATAAACAATTGAATTTACAGCTTATCTTTTATTCCCAACGCAATACATGATAAAATGTTTCACTTTGATTTGATATACCTGCATCTAAGATCAAGTATAATATAAAAATCGTGATATTTTGAACATCCGTATACATATTATTTGTTTAAAGTAAAGGAATTACACTAATAAATATATTTTTGTTATTTTTTAGAGTACACGATCTACTGATACGCTAACGAAGAAAATGATAACCAATGGATCAATAGACAGCATGGAGAAATCAGCATATAGTTCTTCTATAGATGAAACCCAATCATACGATGTATATGAATCGCATAACCCCAACCCTACGGCATTTTCATTTACTCCAACTATAGAGTACCACAAATCTCCAGCTAGATATGAGAATCAACCCACAAGACCTACATTTGACTTATCATTTAAAAATGAAGGCTTTAGAGATAATTCTACTTTTGCATCAAACTCGAACTACCAGTCTAGGGCTGATAGCGTTGTTCAAGACGAATCATCCGAAGAAAGTCCCATCATGGACAAAAGTGACATAACTTCATATCCTCCAAGTGAATATTACAATACAGACACTTTACCGCTAAATAACAAGTCAGATTCAACTTTGAATTTAAAAAGAGGCATAGAAGAATCTAATAAGGGTTATGATTACAGTTTGATGCAAGAACTAAAGAACAAATTACCTCAAAAGAAACCACCGACTCCCCCTAGAAAATATTCCCCAACTTATTCGGACCAACTCGGAAATATGCAGTTTTCTCCCGATTATAATACAATAGGCTTAGCCCATCCCAATGAAACCAGATCACAATCGGCGAGTCTTTTAGAAACCGATTTCGATGAACCAGTTCCTCCTAAGCCTAAACCAAAAACTAGAGCACGAAGTGAAGTTTTATTAGAAACCAATTTTGACTACACTCCACCAGGTGGTAGTCCTCAGTTTAATGAACCTCTCTCTGACGCTAGTAGAAGTAGAAGTCAACCTTTAGAGACTGCGATGTAGAATGTAAATATCAAAATATAACGAAATTCTGCAAGAATATACCTGAATCTTATCTAGCTCTAATCGTCAACATGGTTGTTAAACCTATAGACTACCTGACGACTGTCAGGTGGTCAACAATCTCGGATTAGAATTTTTAAAATAGATTTGTGGAACTGGAATCTAGCCCAGTTAGTCGAGTAGTTCTTTTTCAAATGGAAAAGTAAATCTACCTCAAACAAAGAACAATGTTAAGATCAATCTATCAGCGCAGTTCCTATTTGTCGTTATTGCGTGAACAAAAGCAGACATTATAAGCCATTAGGGTAATATTGACATTAGTGTTAAAACAAAAGGTGCAATTATTGACGAAGCAAGTGTGATACTCATACAGTAGTACAGTAGTACTATTTGCAATGTTATTTTGTTTGTTACAAAGACACACAATTTATATAGCGGTTTTATACTTTATTTATATATTAAATCTAAATTACTATGCATAACGCAGTCTAGTTTCCAAAAATCTAATCAATAAACACACAACTTGGCAACACCGAGAGTTCGCTCGAATATAACCGCATGCATGGAATGGATATCGGAAGAATGAAATAAAAGTTACAGTGCTACAGTGTAGCCAAGTTGTATT